GGGAGCGCTGGGGAAGATCCGCCGGGACGCGGCCCCGGGCAGCGCTCGGTGTGGGGAACCTCCGCTCGGCGTGCCCGGGGGCCTCCACCCTGCGGTGCTGCCCGGCTGTTTGGTTTTCTTTTAAAACTTGTGAGGCACAAGGTGACGATGGCAGTAGGTAGCGATGGCCGGCTGGGCGAAGGGGGTGCGGGCGAGAGGGCACGGCATCGGCATCCGCTCCCCCAAGGAAAACCCGCTCACCTGGGTCGGTGAAAGAAACCACGCGGCGTTTTGGCCTCCCTGCGAGCAGGGTTTGCCAAACCAGCCGGTTCGCTCCCTGGGAGCTGGGTCTGTCCCAGGAGGGTTCTGCAGCGAGGCCGTGGTCACCGCTTGGAGTCACCAGATGGGCTCGGGAAGCGGCTCCGTGTGAGTCAGAGCCACCCCGAGGCCTCACTAACCCCGTGTGCCCTGAGGTGACAGTGGGAAGAGCGAAATGCGCACAGAAACTTTCTTAAAGTGCGGTATGGCCAAGGTTAACGTGGAGGCCCCGATTCTGCAGGTCCTCCATTCTTGTTGAGAGCTTTGCTAGCTGTAATCTGTTTGGCAAACAGCGAAAATAATCCCCTCCTAGTTTAAGTTTTACTGTCGTCTACCAGTTGCTTAACCAGAGCAGCACCCAGGGCCTGTAATAAATAAGCTCTTTGCAGGCTGCTTGTTCATTAAAACACATTCAGAGCCGCAATTCAGTGTTCAGATACAGCTTAAGTTTGGTCTCCTGTACTCACAAGAAAATGTAGGCAGTTGCTGGAGTGCTTGAGGTCTGGGGAACTGAGTGAAACATAAACAGAGGAGAAAAATAATATTTGATAAAAGCAGTGTTAGCATGTTTGATGGGCTGGAGAAGCAGCCAGAATAGACTGCTTCCTGCTTAATTGGAAGCTGGACATCTTTCTTTGCATCATTCCTTGTTAGCAATGGTCTCCTGGAGAGGCAGGTGAGTTTGCTGTCTGGCGGCACTTGTGAAATATACTTGGAAAGGCCCTTCTATGTCCTTTTCGTAACAGGGAGAGAACCATTCATTTGCTACTCCTGCCAGGTACTTGTAGCAGTAGCTTGTTCAGGAGGTAAATTATTCCTTGTGTGTTGAAATTTAAACTCCCACCATTTTTTGATGTTCGATGACACAGTACTCCTTTTGCAGCTGAGTAAATACATCTGTCCCAAGAAGGCTGACAGCTGAAATAGCTTTTGCTTTGAAACACACATTCACATCAGAATCCAGATGAGAGCTACCCTTATTTCCTGTACATTCACTCTTTTGAAATATAATGGAGGCTTGTGAAATGCTGGGCATTTACACGAAATTCCTTGTTGTATGGGATGACGGATCAAAATATCTCAAGACAATATATTTTGTTTTGTTGATGAGGTGGCAAAAGCCAAGAATAGTTTATCCTGAGCGCTTGGTTCCGTGTTCAGAGAAGTATCCTGGTGTAGGAAACCTCATATGCATATGCCTAATGTGGAACAACATTTTGCTTCCATTTCCGTCAACGGAAAGAAAGTCGGAGAGTGCTTAAAGTTCAAGAAATGTGTAGTGCTGGAATTTGTACTTCCAGTTGCAGAATGCATATGTTGCTGTTTTTTTTTTCCTTCTGTATCTAGTGTCATTTGGTTAATATATTGTAAAGTGACTTGTTTTATAAACACCTACATAATACTTCAAGATCTAGGAGCAGTCTTTGTATTTTGCAATACTCATGGTCCTGCTAACAGCCAGTGTCCTGCCTCTTCAGTGTGCTTTTTTTATATCAAACGTCTTGGGCAGGTTTCTCATCTGCCAAACCATCAGATGCCACACGTGTGCCAGGGAGCTGGCCCGCCCAATGCTGTTGGTGGCCTGCACAGAGTATGTGCTTTATTGCTTGTACCACACACAGACCTTCTTCACCCCGGTACGTGCAATGCCCTGTGTCCTGGTGTCGCAACTGGGCACTTCGGGCTGTACTCCCGAGGAAGCAGAGCATTCCAAATTGCTGCCAGGAGCTGCTCCCAGCAGGCTGGATCTGAACCGAGGTACCCGGAATGAAGTCCAGAGGCAAGCCGCTGCCTCCCTCTTCCCCCCTCGTTCTCCACAGGTGCTGTTGCTGCGAGCTACCCCGGGGAGCTCGGGAAAGGCCCCGGGAGCTCTCCCGCTCCCGGCGCCCTGATGGGATCCATCTGCTCCGCGCCTGGCGCAGGAAACGCTGCCTGCTCTCCTCCTTCCTTCCGTTCTGCTCCGAAAGCGGCTCCGCGCCGCGAGGAGCGCAGAGCTCAGAGTGTTTTAAATAAAAAATAAACGGTATCGCCCCTCCGGGCTAAAGGGAGGAGGAAGGCTGTCAGGCGGGGGTCTCAGCCCTCCCCTCCTCCGCCCATCGGGTCCCGCCGTGCTGCTCGCCTCCCTCCCTCCCGCCTGGCCAGGACCCGGGTTTGGGGCCTGGGGGGTGGGCGCCCACCCCTCCGCGGGGCCGGGGCCGAGCGCTGCTGACGGGAGCGGCGTCTCGGGCGCCCGGGGCAGCCCGGGCCGGGCTGCGCTGCGCTGTGGGAGCAGGTTTCTTTGTTGGCTGCCGAGTGACTGGTTCCCATTAATCTCCCGCACTGGCCGTGGCCGTCTCCACTTCCTGCCTTTGCATACTTCTCTCCCTCGATCTCAGTCCCTTCCCTCCCCCTTCCCTCCCCCCCTTTCTTTCCCTCTTCCCAGCTTCTCCAAAAAAGCTACAATCGCCAGGGCTGCGGGACGGGGGCTGGAGGCGGCCGGCGGAGGGAGCGCATCCCTGCGCGCCTCGGTAAGGGCTGGGGAGCCGCGCTGCCGGGCGGTGGTCGCCTCTGGGGGGGGACCCGGGCAGGGAAGCGGGACTGGGGGAGAAGCGATCGGTCGTGCTGCGGGTCGTCGTCCGTGCACTCCGAGAGCCGCCCGCCTCCCGCCGCTGGGGCGGGCGGGGGATGCGCGGCGGCAGCCGCGGGGGCTCCCCGGGCACCGAGGGTCCCCTGGACTGCCCCTGGGGCAACGGAGCTGCCGGAGGCTGTGCCGGTGCGGGCTGGCCCCGCTATCCTTGCGGGACCCTTCCCTGCCGTGCCCGGGGGGAGCGCGGACGGGCGCGGGGTCCTTGCGCACGGGCGGAGCGCGGAGTCGGTGCTCCCGCGCTGGTGAGCGCTGAGCCCGCGGGACGCTGGTTTTCGTGTGGGTGGCGTGGGCAGAGGCACTGCGGAGGGACAGAGCCCGGGAGAACACCTCGGCGGGACTGGGTTAACTCCAACCCGCCTAGGGAGCCAGCGTGCCGAGCGCGGGGCTCTGCTCTGGGGAGAGGCGGGGAACTGCGGCACCTCTTTTTCCCTTCCAATGCCTGCTCGCATGGTCTGTCCAGCCGGCTGCAGGGTTTGCGTGCGTGTTGGAAAGAGTAGAGGAGCCACCTGGACTCCGGCGGAAGACTTTAGGATCCCAAGACAGACTTGGCTGAAGAGCTAAGGGAGCTGCTTCAGCAGTTCACTTGGTGGGAAAATCAGATGTACTGCTCTTGGCTCGGTACCAAACGTTTGCATTACTAAGGTCACTGCAGTCAAAGAGT